ATCTTCTCTCTCCTCTCTCTCTCTCTCTCTCTCTCTCTCTCTCTCTCTCTCTGTGTGTGCTTTTCTTTTTTTCTTGCGGAGGATCATTGTGTGCGCTGTCATACAACCGCGCTTCTTTCCTTTCTTCCGTCTCTGTTTCGCGCCGTCTATTCTCTTCTTTATCTCCTCCTGACATTTCCCCTTAATCTCCATTGATTTCCCCATTGTCTCATCCGTTTTTTCTTCTCTCTCCTCTTTGTGTCTCATTTCTCTCACCTGGCCCCCATTCGTGCGATGCCGTGCTTTTTCGCGGTCGCTTGTCACGCGGCGCGATGTGGCCTGGTCGATGCGTGACGATCATGCGTGGGCCTGATCGATCTATCAACCGATCTACCACCGGTCGGCCTCCATTTCCTCCAACCGATCATTCCCATATACGGGAAAATTCATGCATGATTCTTCTTCCTTTCGCGGTTCGCGCGAGTTCTCCTCGGCATCTTGTCATATTTGTTTTCCTTTTTTCTTTTTGTCAGAATTTCGTTGCTCCCTTCTGTCCTTTGCAGCGCCTCTCCTTCGTAGCGTCACTGTAAATAATTGAGAACACGCGCGAAGCGTGAATGTGTACACGAAAGGAACAGTTTTGCTAAATTATCTGAAAATCTAACCAGATCTAAAAATAATTTTGATGAGTTATCAAAATTATTATTATGTCGAACGCTTAAGCGAATTTTTAGATATTTCTACTAGCAAAATCGTCTTTTCCGTGTTTCCAAGTATTTTATTATTCTAAAAATTTTGATCAAATAATTTCTAGAGAATAAGATATCGAGATAAGAAAGATGATTTTCCAAGAAATTCATAGATAACTTCCTGATTAAAATATCGAGATAAAAAATGATTCTTGAAGAAATTCGGCACAGAGAGCTCCTTAGAATATCGCGATAAGAAGTGACTCCATTTTTAAATTATTAAAATATATATAGATGGCTCTTTTCGTGAATTTTTAAATTCGAGTTTTTACGAGCGGGCGAAGATCGATTTTTCATTCGATCGAGAATAATTTTTTCCAATATAATGCGTAAATATTTATCGCACGGATATTTTAGGTCAAGGGCTTTAGGTGGAGAAAGGGCTTTTTAAATTATTTAAGATGTCAAGTCACGTTGCTGGAATCTTGCGCGACCGAGTTACCGGATACGCGATGATCGCGGCGACGACTTTAATTTCTGAGAAATGTAGTTGACACTTATCGAGGGATAAAGTATCAGGGGTGACGATATCGGATCCTCTTTAGCGGAAATTGCTTCCGAGGATATTACGTCGACGTGCCATCCGAATTCCTGACGAGCGGGCGTAATAACGGACGTTTCAAAGCCGTCGATCGAGCTGCAAGACGGTACTTCCTTTCACCGCGCTTGTTGTTCCCGATATGTAGAACGAGACCGAAAATCTCGCGAGCCTTCAGCACGAACGAGTTGCGTTCTCGTTAGCGTAATCGAAGAGCGGAAGTCACGAAGTGCGATTTTGCTTTAAATTAATCTCTAAGATTCCGAGCAGCTCTCTGTAAAATAACGAACGCACCGTGTGTGTTCTAAAAATAATTGTGATTTTCTTCGGTATAAATTAAACGCGTTATTTAAAAGCTTTAATAGCTTAATTAACTTTGTCGATAAGTACGTGTGAAGATCATTTAGGAGTTCTCGGAGAAGAGAAAAATCTTTTCGCAATATTCTAGAAATTAAATAATCAGATGTCTAAGTTCGATATTGGATTTTAGTTTTAACAGAATATTAGCTTTTGAATTAAGAACGGTGATAGTTTTAAGACGCTTTAAGGCCTCGATAACTTTGTAATTATGAAACGCTCGGAGAGAAAGCCAGTTGTCTATATATTTCTTCTCCTTCCCTCCTTGAAGGATTAATCGAAGATTAAATCTTACGTTCGTGCTCGCAAACGTCCGAACTCGGCGCGTTCACATTCACTAGATAGAAAAATGGGATTCAAACGTCAGTGATGATATGTCTATGCTCTCTATTGATCTCGCGATTGTTTATATATGTGACACCCGATATCGATTATTCGGCATACCTATGTTGGCACATGTCGGCGGAATATAATCGCGTAGATCGCTAACTGCGATTTGTACGCGAGTATAGCACGTTAAAATCCACCGTGCATATTCGCTCACGAGAAACCTGCATTGTGTTTATATTTTTTTATTGTTTATTATTTTAACCAAGTATTAATTTACTCCCTCAACAAATCAATATTATTACAATAAAAAAAAAGTAAATTTAATTCTGGCGATAAGCCAGGATGAGATATATTCTTTAATATACGCCCTCTCGCGTGTCATCAAAATAATTAAAAAAAAAAAATAAAATAAAATAAATAAATAAAAACAACAGAAAAGAAAAAAAAATAAAGATTGTAAACTGTAATCATTCGCGATTGACAAGACGCATGTACGATCGCCCTAAATCTATTTCGACAAATTCGCTATCCCATCTAGTTCCGTTCTCTCGTAAATTCCTAAGGATATTTTCGAGTCGATGTAACAAGTCCCTCGGAAGTTTGGTCGGCAATAAGCGCCTTCCCTCTCATCGCAGTGCGGGAAGAGTTAGGGGCGCGCGGGGCGGATATATCTTTCCGATATTTAATTCAGAATGCGAGCACGACCGCACCGCGAGTTCCATTAACTATAGATGAGGCCGGGCACGAAGTGCAGCGCAGTTTTCGCTCGGTGCGGCCTGCACTTCGGAGATGCACACTCACCGTTACGTTTCGTTCGCGAGGCGGCGCGTTGCGGTAGCGAGCGAGCGAGCGAGCGAGCGAGCGGCTGCTTTAGGGGAGACTGGCATAATTGATCCGGCGGAACACACGACCGCCAGACACAATGCTCACTTTTCGAGCCATGCGAAAATATTCCGCGTAAGTGGACTAGGCAGCACGGCGGATGGGTCGTATGCTCTCTCGAGTGCTTATCAGGGCATTCA